CCCTGCTCCTTGGGAGCCTGCTTCTCCCTCTGCCTCTCTCTCTCTCTCTCTGTCTCTCATGAATAAATAAATAAAATCTTAAAAAAAAAAATTATTAGAACACACCAATCCCTGGGCCCTTTGGGACTTGGGCGCTTCCTGATATCCCAGTCTCCTCACTGCCTTTCTCCTCTAGGACCTGAAGTCCTTTCCTGAATTACTTATCTCTGTTTGCTATGACCTTTATGCCCCCAACTGTTGGGCCACTATCTTGACTGATATTACTGCTCTCCTAATCACTTTGTTATTGACATTCTGGAGACCACATTTGGCCACTGGACCCAATTCCTAGTGACCAGCCTCATGTTAGTGGGGTAAGGAGGGTCCTTGTTCCAAGTCCCAGTCCTAGCTCTGCTCTTCTGCCATGTCCCTGCTCATCCAAGTCCTATAAGATAGCACACTCTTACCCTCTAAACTCTGGCCTGGCTCACATCTCTGTTTTTTTCCTCCACTCCTCCAACATTTCTCTGACTCCATGGGAGGACCTGGTCTTTATTTCTAAAGTTTGAGTTTAGAAATTTATTATTTATACTGTATTTTCTTTCCAAAAGTTTCTTGACAAAAATTATATCTAACTTAAGTAAAAAGAGATGATACAAAGATATAGGGAAGAATTTACTAAATCTATTTAAAATAATATAAACCAATCTGCTGTCAGTTGATGACAGACTGCCAGGGAACCCAACGATTCATGAATTTACATGCAATCATACACACTTCATGGATTACAGAAAAACATCAATGAAGGTCATTATGATAGACAGCACTGCCTTGGAAGCCCACAAACATAGTACTAAGCATGTGATAAAAGCAATTCTTACTAGTTTTCTATTCTTGTAATTAATTACTCAGGTTTTGGTGAAGTTTTACAGTAGGCTTAAGAATATGAGTATTTTTCAAGTTACCCAAAGAGGTCACTCCCTGGTAAAAATCTCTTCCTCTACGTCTGCCCTAGTCCCCTCCATTCCAGCAGCTTCCTCAGCAAGCTCACAAATGTAATTCAGCCATGTCTGCTGAGCACCCACCATATGCCAGATTGGGGTTAGGCTTCTGTGTACCTCATCAAGGCTGCCTCTCAGGCAGGAAAACATACTTTCTTACTTGGTTCAAAGTCAAATCCTTAAAGTTATACAGAGACCTTTGTTTGGATAAGGTTAATTCTTACCTAAGAGGGTTCAGAGAATTTCATATACAAAATAAAACAAAACAAAACAAAAACCTGTGTCTATAATCTTGGCAGAACAAGACTGACAAAATTGAGATCAAAGCAATAGCCCCCAAGAGGATTTAATGCTGTAGTAATTCTTTTTATACTAAAGGTCACATGAGTCAGTTTTTTCAAACAGTAATTTCTCTTATTTCTTTTCAGACATAAACACACTCATTAGAATGCATCTAAATTAAATTGTGCTCACTAATTCTACTAGGTGCCAGGCCCTATTCCCTGGGATGTAGTGTTGGGAAGAGCTGACAAGGTCCCCACTGTCCTGCAGCTGACATACATTTTCTTGGGCTTAAATATAAAATCCTGAGAGATTCTAAAAAAGTTGTTTTAGTGAAAATGTTCACAGATGATTTAATGTCTATGATTTACACTGATAGACATTTAATAAATGTTTGGTAAGTGAAATTTATCTGCCAGAGATAGATTTATTAATTACTCAAAAATTTGAGCATTCTAAACTGAAATTCAGTATGTTACTTTGGTTATTTGAATGGATTCATGCAATAAGGAGCCACAATCTCTTCGCAAATAGCCTGTCACTGAAAAACACTTGGGCCAATATGTAAGGGCCAGAAATATCACTTTTCCATGAGGTACCACATAAGACCAAGAGGTCCTGTTTGGTTTTGTTTTAAAGGCAAAATTGCTAAGCAAAATGAGCCTGACTTGACCAAAGCGTTCAATAGCTTGGGCTTAAAGAAAGAATAGTTACTCAGTTTGTCAAATATTTGATGATAAATAATAGTCTTATATCAGAGAATTTAATGGAGACAAAGATCCTAACAGAAATAAATAACTGCAATAATTTCTAAAAATTTTTGAGGTAAATGGTTGATTAAATTAAAAATTCATTTATTCACCCACTTATCAAATGATTGCTGAGTACCACTTCTTGAGACCCAGCAGTGTGAACTGTGAAAGACACAAAGCTTTATGGCTCTTGGGATTTTTTAGGGTTTTTTTTTTTAATGTAAGTAATCTCTATGCCCAGTGTGGGTCTCGAACTCATAACCCCAAGATCAAAAGCCACATGGTCTTCCAACTGAGCCAGCCAGGCACCCCTGGCTATTGGATTTTAGAAGCATTCCATCCAGTAAGTGAGGGAAAATATGGCAGGTGGTAAGACAGCGTATGAGTTCAAACAAAAAACTGATGTGTTCAGAGGAGAAGCCTTCGGGCTGCAGTGATCAGCAGAGGCTCTACAAAGGCTGTGTTCAGTTAGATCCAATGGGATGGGTAGGATTTTTTTCAGTGAAAACAGAAAGAAATTCAGGGCAGCATGGGCCAAGAACCAGAGGCAAGTACACATGAAGTCGGTTCAGGGAATTTCCAGGGACTAATCTAGCTTGACCAGGAGGTTTTCAGCTTTCCTGTGCTGGGGAACTGTGGTATTAAAAAATAGCCCAGGGATCCAAATGGAGGAAATAGTTTAGAACAGAAGATGGTCATTGCATTTTTAGATGTGTTGAGTTTGAGGAGATGGCAGGCTACCTAAGAGGAAGTAGTTGTAGGCAGGAGGAAGGGCGGAAGTGGAATCCTGGACCACACCCATCCAGACAGGAGAGCGAGAGCCATGGGAGGTGTGGTGTCTGAAGCACAGGTACATAGAGAAGAGGATGAAATTGTGGGTTCTCAAGTATGACTGCTTAAATCCTTGACTTCTTCATTTTTGTAACTTCTACCTATACTTTCATCCGTGAGCCCACCATCCTTTCCCCTGCCACTGTAGGAGATGATCTTATTTATTGTGGAATACCTGCTGCCTAGCAAAATACCTGACATAGTAGGTGCTCAATAAATAATTGGTGGATCCATGAATGAATGAATTCAGTGCAAACCTGGCTTCTGAATAAACCTGAAGATTGTGATATAATTTCTTTGACTCTCCAGCCATCCAGTGCCCAGAATTATTTGCTCCAGAGTGGGGAAGCCTGGCTTGTTCTGACACCCATAAGGAATTCAGGGTTGGCTCCACCTGTCATTTCTCCTGTAACAAGGGCTTTAAGCTGGAGGGACCCAATAATGTTGAATGCACAGCTTCTGGAAAATGGACAGCACCTCAACCAACCTGCGAAGGTATAATCGTATACACTCACTGAGACAGCTCTTCTCCCGGAAATGTCCTCAAAAATAACAAACACTTATATAAGCTCTTACTGTGTGACAGGTATGCACTATAATATTATTACTGTGAAAGCTCTCTCTCTTATTTTAAAATGGGTTCTCTATTGGAATCTAGGAAACACAGCCTATGGATTTAAAAATTTATAAGGGGTGACAGGACTTATTTTTGTGAATAAAAAATATATTGATTCTTTTAAGATTTTATTTATGAGAGAGAGAGAGCACGAGTGGGGAGAGGGGCAGAGGAAGAGGGAGAAGCCGGCTTCCCCCTGAGCAGAGAGCCCGACTCAGAGCTCAATCCCAGGACCCCTGGATCATGACCTGAGCCGAAGGCAGACGCTTTACTGAGCCACCCAGGTGCCCCAAGATATAGTGATTCTTAAGCAGAAACTTTCTTTCATAATTTTGGCCTCTTTTTCTCAGAGACCTTTACTGGGTTGATTAAATGGTCTCCATTGCTTCATTGCCAGGAGGAGTACAAAGAGTGGAGTCACTGATCCAGTTTCTCAAATCAAGGAACTGAGGTTTTAGAAAGGTCAATGAGCATCTTTCTGCTACATGGAAAGTTAGTGACAAAGCCAGTGGCATCATGCACACCTCGCATTTCATGCTGACCTTTGGCCAGCAGGCAATGCCACCTCCCAACAAACCAGCAAGGGCAAGCAATTGACCTATGCATATTTTGCTTTCTACTGAATTTCTTACATTTCTGCACCGACTCTTAAATTTCTGTTTCGTTTTGTTTTGTTTTTAAATATTGGTAACATTGACATCATGCCCCACCCCCCATTCTTCCTCTGGTCTAGAGAATTATCTCTCCAAGGATATATTTTTTTTAAGGGAGAGAGAGACGAAAAAAAGTGCATGAGCAGGGTGGTAGAAGGGGCAGAGGGAGAGGGAGAGAGAGAATCTTAAGCAGGCTCCACACCCAGCATGGAGCTCATCGTGGGGCTCGATCTCATGACCTGAGCTGAAATCAACAGTCAGATGCTTAACTGACTGAGCCACCCAGGCACCCCTCTCCAACGATATTTTTAAGTACTTTTTTTTCTCATCTGGTTTTCAGTACCTGAGATTAATAATTTTCCTTAACTTCCTTGAGAGGCTATTGCTAGAGACTCCCTTACTACAAGAAGAGTGGAAGGCAGTTATTCCATGTCAGTCTTAACTCCATTATGCTCCTTTTATTGGGAGCTCTCTAAATGGAAACACATTTTCACAGCAGGCATAGTATCAGCTCGTACTTCAGAGGTTCGATGCCCGGCCCTCATCACTCCAGGGCAAGGAACAGTGTCCTGTAGGCATCCTCTGGGAACCTTTGGTTTGAATACCACTTGTTACTTTGGATGCAAAGCTGGATTCACACTCATGGGAGACAGTGCTCTCAGATGCAGACCTTCAGGACAATGGACAGCAGGAACTCCGGCATGCAGAGGTAACGTGAAAGGAACAGGCAGTTCTGATGCTATCTTCCACCTGGCCCCCACGCTCACGGTTGTACCTGCCTGTTGAAATCCCATCCAACCCCAATGACTTCTTCACATGTCAGCTCCCCATGAAATCTACACCAATCCCAGTTAGAAGTAATGTGCCACAGGCATGTCACTTCTCCCCCTGCTATGTCACAAGAGAACGCCCTGGTCTCAAAGACATAAAGGAGGAAACATTTGCAAATGTCCAAATGTGTGAAAAAACAAGCATGCCAAACATGAAACCAACTATAAGAATTGTGAAATACAAGTTGCAATTCCATTAATTATGTGATAGTGTAAACATCCCATATTTTCATAATGGAAACCTAACTAAAAAGATAAGCCATGCATGATACCTCTGGAAGGGCTATCACCCCATACATGAAGTACTATGTCTCTTCCGTCTTTGTATTCCCCATGAAGACCAGAGCAGTGCTTTGCAAATGTCGCTATTGCTCAATAATATTTATTTGAGTTAGTTTCCTGAGCTTTAGTTTCCTATCTGCAAAGTAGGGACAATAACCTAAAGTTCCCCGAAGGAAAGTTTAAAGAGGGTGGCAGTCTCTACTTCCTTCAAACTTCCAGAAGCAGTTATGCTGAACAATTATTAAGTATTTTAATAAACACGTGCTGACATGCCAGCTATTTACCAGTGGTAGTCATAATAACAATTAGAACAGTAATATTTTTGAGAAGTGAAATTTTGAAAACAGTATTTTTATAGGTAAGATTGATCAAGCCATTAGTAGGTATCTATTGAATGTTGCTCTGTGCCCCTCCTAGTTCTTTGGCTAATGTTCTTTGAGTGGACATCGTAGTATGTGCAATGTTGGAGGAGTTGGTGTGAATGTCAGAAGTGGCTCATCTCCTTTCTGATGTTTTACATTCTACCTCATCTGCTGGCAATGCTAGCCAGGTTACAAATGAAACCATAATCTCTGTCACCTTCATTCTACATGTCTAGTTTTCCTGCATTCTTTTTTTCTGCAGTGGTCAAATGCTCAGAGCTGCATGTTATTGAGCCAGGCATGATGAACTGCTCCAACCCCTGGGGAAATTTCAGCTATGGATCAACCTGTAGCTTCCATTGTCCAGAGGGCCAGTTACTTAATGGTTCAGCGAGAACAGCATGCCAAGAGAACGGCCAGTGGTCAACTCCCATGCCAGCCTGCCAAGGTATATTTTCAATATGGGTTAGGAAGTCACTTTTATAAGGAATGTAACTGGGGTGTGTGGGTGGCTCAGTCGTTAAGCGTCTGCCTTTGGCTCAGGTCATGATTCCAGGGTCCTGGGATTGAACCCCGCATCGGGCTCCCTGCTCCATGGGAAGCCTGCTTCTCCTTCTCCCACTCCCCCTGCTTGTGTTCCCTCTCTCGCTGTGTCTCTCTCTGTCAAATAAATAAATAAAATCTTTTTTTTAAAAAAAGGAATGTAACAAAATCAGTGTTTCTTTTTTGTGTATTTCTGACAGTAGTCTCACTTTCCATCACTGGGTTTCCCTGTGTTAATAAATGTTTCATGATAAATCCTTGCCTTCCACCAAGCAGTGGGAATTAAATTCAGTGACTCTGTGTAGGCAATCATCCCTCCTTTATGAGAGCTCAGATGTGTCAAATGAGAACATTTTTAACCGGAGGTTATTTCATGCAGATTCCTAATTTATTATCTCAGAAGAATTTTGTTTACCACATACCTCTAAAAACACATAGATCTTTTTAAATTAAGCTTCATCTCTTTGTAAGGTTTATTTCATCCACCTTCCTTTTACTTTTCATTGTTTTCTCTATAGCTTGTCATGACTACACTTTGTTGTATAACTGAATCTTTGATTGGTCCCCCCCAAAATTAATCATTATTTGCTTAAACTTCCACTTCTTCAATCATTTTATTTACTTTATTATGTCCTTCCCCTGACGCCTTTGGGCACTGTGTTTGATATTTAAGCGTTAGGAATAAAATCAGGCCCTGCTTCCCATGCTGTTGCTGTAGTTTTATGGCTTCCAGATCTCTCCTGCCCGGTTGTCACCCCTGCCGGGACCTTTGATGATCCTGTGCGATCTCACATCTCACAATCCTTGGGACGCTTCTGGAAGAATGATGGCCTTTTGCGCAACACATTTCTTATGCCCTGCATGTGTGTTTGTTTTGCAGCAGGGCCGTTGACAATCCAGCAAGCCCTGACTTACTTTGGGGGAGCAGTGGCTTCTACAATAGGTTTGGTGACGTGTGGGACATTGCTGACTCTGCTAAGAAAGCGCTTCAGACAAAAAGGTAAATAGGAAAGAGTCTTTTTTTCTTCTTTCTTGTCATTTGGGGAAGTGCCGTGAAACTACAACGTCAGTAGTTCATGTTTGAAAACATTTGTCTTTAAAGAAAACAAGCCCAAGAGAAGTCATTTTGAGAGCTGACTGCCCATCAGAATCATCTTTATAAAAGTACAGATCCTCGTACAGGGGGATTGGCCTGGAAATCTGAGATTGGCGTGGAAATCTGAATTTCTCAAAACCCTCCCCTCCAAATTCTGATGAGGCCAGTTGGTGCATTGGCATTTGGGGACCTCTGGTCTAGGTAAACTTAGTTATCACTAGGATTAACTGGAAAGTGTCATGCTCTCCTCCTTCATCATTCTCTTATGTGATGATCATTTATTGATCAATGGTGTTGGGTAGTTAGTGCTTCTGAATCAAAAATCAAGTGCTTCTGGAGGATGCGAGAAATGAAGCTAGAGATGTGAAGAGCAGCTGCTTAGTCATGACCTGGTGTGATACACCAGGACATCTGTACATTCTCTCAAAATGTGTGGAACTAATCCAGGACTGAAGCAGAAACCTGACCTAATGGAGGAAGACCCTCCATGAGGGAGCTGTGTTTACTAGATTGTTCATCAAAAAAGGAGCTCTGGCCTAAGAGTATAAGAAGGGAACCATCTCTTAAGGGTTAAAACAGTGTTTTTCTTTCTGCTCCAGATGTTCAGCCATGAGCTCAGAAACCTCTTTTTGTAGCTAATGTGTCTCTTCATCATTTCTCATGGAAAGTAACTGGGGGCATCTGAGGGGTCAGGAAGGCTCAAATGCTCCAATACAGGTAACTGAGAATGGCTGTTATACCTGATGGAGTTCTCATGGATCTGAGGACTTTCAACACCCATTCTTAACTGCTCAAGGGCAGAACTACTTGTTCCATAGTTTTAAGCTCTCTCCATTCACAGAGCCACCATTACATTGAGGCTGGCTTTCTAAAGTTCCTTCATATACTCTCTTATGAATGGGTTAGTAGGACGAAGGACAAAGCATAACACTCTTCTTAAAAACTAAAGAGCTACAACCAGTCCTTCCATGTAACATTTGTGTTTATTTAACCAAATCCAGAAGGCAGAGGCAAGAGCTCCTAACCACCTAGACCCTACCCTCCATAACCATGTAGGAATCACACTATTCCTGCATTTCCCCCAAGTTCTTTCTTCAGTTTTGGGACATTGCTAGAGAACTCTCCAGACCATGAAGAGGGAGGAGCAGCCACCCATCCTCCAATATCTTTAATAATAAATACTCATTTGTGAGAATGGGGAATTTTTCCTTGACCTGTCCCAAGGTGATTTTAACCTTTCTAAGATGCTGTGGTCAAATAATAGGAAAATGTTGCATACATGCCCTGCAAATTCAAAATGCACATTCATTACACTTTGAAGGCTCAATAATGCCCTGTAATAAATATACTTGTTCATCTTCATTTGATCTAATATTTTCTAAATTTATTGAGCCATGAGATGATTTTCTCCTTTTATCTATCCATGGGATGATTGACAGGCCTGCTGCCATATTTAAAGTTTCTACTCGCAGTGTCCATTGCTTGGATTAAGATAGGAGGCCCTGGTCACCTATGTTACCAGAGCAGGAAAACAGCCCTTGTTATGTCGGTATGGATTTGTTTATGTGATTAACTTGCCCAATTAGTGGCTGGGGGAGTGTGACACAGGTTGCAATGAGAGGGGGCCTCGAGTGCCAAAGTAATGGGTTTCAAGAACCAATGATCTGAATATCAGCAACAACCAAAAATAGCCAAGATGTTGAAGGCAGGGACCAGAGGAAAAAGAAGAGGTTGTCACTGAATGGGAAGACAAGAAAGATGAGAAGACTCTGGATTACGTACTGTCAAATGTTTAATTTAACTTAACATAGGTTCTACCTCTCAGAGAGAGCTTGTTCTCAATACACTCCTAACAATGAACCCATCTGAAAATCAGTACACATACTTTCCCCAATAACTCCTACCACTGATGACCTTTCTCTTTCTACTAGTTTTTTTGTTTCTTTTCAGCTGATCATTTGTGTCTTCTTGTTTATTGCAGATGATGGAGAAAACCCCTTGAACCCTCAAAGGTAAGACAGACATGTTTCTTGATTAAGTAAATTTGTCTAGTTTTACTTTTTAATTCACTGTAATATGTCAGAATGATTCTACATAATGCCCCCTTTCTGCAACAAATCTTTTGCAATGTCCCTTTTACTAATTCTAAAGTAAAATACACAGATAACATATACTAACCACACATAGTATTTTTAAAAATCGGTAAGGGCTCTAATTATAAAGTAAAAGAGAAATAAAAGGGAAAGTGATATATAATAGAAATAAAACGTTAAAGCTGAGGCACTACTCTAGTGGATGCTATGAGGTCATTAGAGGCTTGCACCTTTTGGTTCACAACCACAAAGACCAACAGTCAGGAATACTGTATCAGTGGCTCAAACAGGATCAGCGGCATTGCCAACACCAGCCTGATTTTTTTTTTAATGATGAATGGCTCTGGTAAAGGGTTGGAAAACCTGTCATAATCTTCCCTCAACTCACATGGCAATTGTATTCTAAAAGATGTAAAAAATATATTATTTATATTTAAAGCACTTAAATTCTAGGCTCAGGGATTATTCACCTACAGGAATACTGAGTAGATATTCTAAAATTGTATTGAGTGTAGGATAATTCTTTTGTGTCCTGTGCCTATTGGGATATCCAGCATCCCTGGCCCTTTCCTACTAAATGTCAATAGAATTCTTGATCACTATGAAAATTAAAAAACACCCATAGGGGGCAGTACTACCATTCTTTGAAAACTGTTGCCAGATGATCAAATATCAAGGCTGGGTATTTTCTAAGGATTTCTTCTCACTAGGAAGAGGCATAGCAGGTATTCAGTTACCTAGAGCATCAACAATAGTTTCGTGTGGGTGTAAGTGCAGTGCAGATTACCCAGAGCAGCTAAATGGGATCTCAAAAGTCTCTTAGGCATTTATTTTTGTTTCCCTTTTAAAGCAGAATTCCAGGGTGGGGTGGTAATGCAAGGTCTCTGCAGGAAGTATGTGCTGGACTTGTGGTCAAGGACCAAGCACTATATGGCAAGTCATCTTTGTATATCTGTTCTTTAGCCACCTAGGAACATATGGAGTTTTTTCAAATGCTGCATTTGACCCAAGCCCTTAAGGTAAGTTGCCTATAAAGATATTTTTGAAGGAAATAGAACAGTAGGGCAAAGAGAACGAATATTAAATCTTGATGTTTCATTATATGGTCGTGAGTTAAATTTTAAGCATGTATTAAGTTTTTAAGCCTTGAAGGAAATTGTGTTGGTAGCAGGGGACAAGATATGTCAGTAGAGTGACAATAGAAAGTAAGTTTATATGAGGATTTCCATTTCCTCCAGGCTAGAAATGTTCTATTAAGATATAACTTATTTCAGGATGTATGACATTCCCGTTAATGGTTGCTTGGAGGTATTAACAACACCATGGTTTTGCTTGATAACCAGAAGTTATACTACTGGAAAAACTTTACAGACTTTTATGGAGTCAGTCCTCTGTGTGACTTGCTGGGAAAACAAAAATAATCTTATGCTTTCTCTCTTCCCAAAAGCTCAGTGAGTAGTTGAGTATTCTGCCGAGATAGCAGAATATCTGGATCTAGAAAGAGATTATGTTGATCCTCGGGGGACAGATATGCTGAGAGCTAGCTGGCTCGCTTGCTTTTAAAGAAAATATCGTTATTTTCATTTCTTTCGTCTCATCTTCAGAGACCTGTCCTGCTGGTCTCTTCCCTCAACCTCCATAGGATCCTATTTTTGAACATCACGCTTCCTGCCAAACTTGACTTCTACTGTAGCATATGCGTGGCAGTTTTCTGGAAATACTTGTTGAATAAGGACATGGAGTTTCCTGTAGATTAGTTCTGGATGAGAGCAGAAAGATTGTGTCACAAGCCCAAACTCTCCACCCACCACCCCTTCCTGCTCCACCTCTTCCTTAAGCCTCAGAAGCCAGGACTGAATGTCTGCGGTGATCTGTGGGCTTTGCCCAGCTGTCCCTTCTTGAGGACTAATTAACCAGAGACTGAAGCATCTGACTTACCAGAAGACCAGACTGTGGAAAAATAAAAATGCTTCTTTATTTTTGGATTGGAGGAAGGCATACTCTGCTTTGTTGGAAGGCAGGTGGTGTCTGTGACTTGAGGGAATTTCTATAAGATCTTCTGAGGTGTCCAGTGCTTGCTGTTTATGAAGCCTATTATACCCTCGCTGCAAGGCCTCCAGCGAGGCCTCTGGATGGCACCAGAGAGTGCAGAAGACCAAGAATCAAGATAGGAAGGCACATGTCACCTTCCCTCCACTGGTCACTCTCCCCAAAAGAACCTCAAGACCAAAATTCAAATGTGCAATTAAAAAGATTCTTCCCAAATGCCATGCTATATTATTTGATGTTTTGTTCAATAAGATCTGTGTACATCATTTTGTTTACATCAATGTAATGCACAATTACTGATGTCCCAATTACAACTTGACCCTTCATTCAGTCAGCAAATATATACCATATCACTGCCCCCCCCACAAAATCAAAGAAGAAAAAAATCAGAAATCCAAGAAGCAGAAAAAATCCTCATCACCTGAACGCCCTATAAGGAAGAACAGATGTTATTTATTAAATCACATGTTTAATATGTAGATTGTTGAAAGTTACATAGTAGTTATCTGGAACTGATGCAAAAAAAAAAAAAAGAGCCAAACAATACAGTTGTCTTGTCTCTGTGAAATGTGAGACAATAAACATGTCATGAAGAATGAATAACATGTGGGTAAATATGCAAATAAAAATTATAAAACAGTCTAACTAAGGGTTACAATAATTTTGCAAGAACTTTGGCAGTAAACTTGGGATTTAAGGACACACTGCTTTTTAAAAAGTTTCTCTCATATACTGTTTATCTCTCCTTATCTTGTGCCAATCACTAGGCTGTTATCAGCCCTGTGTCTGAGTCAGAATCTACAATTTGTAAAAGCTTCCCCCAGGGAATTCTGATGGTTTGTCAGCTTTCAACTACTGCTATTATAGATACAGAAGAGTAAGGCATTGTTCTGCTTTTGAACAGTTTATAATCTAATTGGGGAAACAATAGATATGCACACAAAGTAATAGAGGGCACTCAATATGAGTATCATACTTGAATAGTGTTGTAGTTCATAAAATGGAAAGAGTCCATTTGAGTCCAGAATTAAGGAGATAGGTAGGATTCTGAACTGAAACAGAGTTCAGCAAAGGGGGAGAGATGAATATTCTAAGTTGACAGAGTAATATCAGCGTAGGAGCAGACAGGACTGTGTGTAGGAGGAGTGAAGTGTGGAGGAGCCTGACATCATGGAGACCTCATGTGAGGGGCCAGATTACAACGTATCAAATCTATTGAGATGAACCATCTTTAAGACAGGCTTGGAGGACACCCGGTGGCTCAGCCAGTTAAGCATCTGCCTTTGGCTCAGGTCATGATCCCAGGGTCCTGGGATCGAGTCCCATATCGGGCTCCTTGCTCAGCACTGCCACTTCCCCTGCTTGTGCTCTCTCTCTCTGCCAAATAAATAAATAAAATCTATTTTTTTTTTAAAAAAAGCCAGAAGCTTGGTGGAATGCAGATTCGGGGAATCTCAGACAGTTATAATGATGCTTCAGACAATGTAATTCTCAGATTTTCTATCAATAGCAAAATAAGATCTTAAGGCAGTGTGCAACAGCCAGATCCTCCAAGAAACACAAGGGGCTCCTGAGGCAGGAAAACCATAATCATAGTAATACACATGTGCTCTGTGCTCAACTGCCAGGAATTAGACACCTCACAATAGCCTTTTATCCTCCCGACGGTTGCATCTGGGAAAAGATTCTTATTACCCTCTTGTACAGATGTCAAAACAGAGCTCTAAAGAGATTGAGTCACTTACCCAGCCAGCACAGCTGGTAGGTAGGACTGAGTCCGCTCTGCTGCCCTTGTGGCCACTGGCCCTCATCAAGACAGAACTGTGCATGGGTGGAAATCAGTAAAGTGGTCCAGGCCTGCAGGCCCCGTTCTGGCGCTCATCCCCTTGCTTCCTCGCCTGAAATTACAAGGTTTCTGTGCGCCTAACACGGCATAGTCCCCTTTCCCCCAGATACAGGGAAACTGATGCAGTTAAGGGCATGAGGTGAGGGTCTGGCAAATGTAAACTTGGACCTGGCTGTTTTTACGGTGAGTGGTAAGGGGCTACTGCCCCAGTGGCCTCAGCAGGTGCAAGCGCAGGAACAGTTTTGCCTGTGGCTCGCGAATCCCTGGGCACTGCGCCTCCTGCGAGAGCCTCTGATCTCTGCCCTTTCTGCACCTGCGGTAAAACATTCACTAATCTGCTTGCTCTGCCTCGTACCTCCTGTCATGGGGGCGGTGACCTAGCCAACCCCCTTCCTGGAAGGGCTCTAGGAGGGGATGACCGCCCGAGGCTGCTGCAGCCTTGGCACCCGCGGGAGCCGAAGGGAAGGAGGACACCGCCACCCGCAGCCTCCCGGAGCTCATTGCAGCCGGGACGCCGAGCAACCCTGCAGCGCGGAGCGCGGACGGTGGCGGATGTGAGCCGGACCCGGGCCCGGGAGCAGGAAAGGAACCATGGCCCCAGGCTGCCCGCGCCTCTGGGTCCTGGTGGTCCTGGGCGCCAGCTGCGCAGGCTGGGGGAGCTGGGGGGCCGAAGCGGCGCGGCTAAGGCAGTTCTACGTGGCTGCTCAGGGCATCAGCTGGAACTACCGCCCTGAGCCCACCAATCTGAGGTGAGGCAGGTCTGGTGTCCTGGTAGGCTTCTCTAGGGAAAACTATTTCTTTTTAGGACGCTTTCCTTTTGCAATTCTATGGCTTAAAAAAAAAAAAAAAGAACTTATCGCTCATTTTTAAACAAAACTGCTATTTTTGTTTCTAATAATACAGTGTGTTAGATATTCCGTTTGACGCTGTTTGAAGAATTTGTTAATATAGTTTTGTTAGTGTGATTGATTGTTGGTTTAATATATTGGTTGATTCAAAAGCACCAGGCACTAGCCCCCTCATTAGCCCTTCCTGCAAAGTCCCATTCCAGAGTTTTAGGCTACGTACGTATTATTTATTCTGTCCTCCACATAACTTCATCTTCTAAAATTAAAGATGTACACATCGTCCTTTGTTTAAGCAGATTGTTCAATACCAATTGCCAAATTGCCATAATTTTGTTGTAGTCTTACAAATGACTTTCAAACCATCATCAGTCCATAAACATGCAACATTTTTGTTCTTTTACCTTTTCTTCCACTTCATGTGACTCCTCATTTTTTTCACATTTTTAGTCCCTGGGATATAGTCTACCCTGGCTAGTTTGGAAGGGTCACTATGTAACTAAAAGGTGGCTTAAATAATAAAACTTTATTTTGAACTACAAATTATTTTTCTTAATTGAAAGGCTAAAAATAAGACTTCCCAGAAATTAAACAAATTATAGGACCAACTCACTATTTCCAGTTAGTTATATTTTTATATTTTTTATTAGTAAACCTCTCAGTGTGACTCAGTTTTTTTTTAACTTAACATCGCAGTTTAAATGATTGTGAAAGACAAGTTCCTCTTTTATGATTACAAAACCAAAGCAATCTCCCAAGAAATAATGTAATATTTTAAGAGTCTGGTAGTGTATAACATTAAACCCCTTAAAGAATTGCTTTGTAACTGGGTTATTTTGGAGTGTATTATATACTGTCTTGGTCTTGTAACAATAAGAAATCTTTTTAAAAGTTTTTTAAATATTTTATTTATTTATTTGAGATAGAGAGAGAGGGAGAGAGCACA